ATTTTCTTAGGGAGTAACAGGCGTTTTGAAAATTATTTTCTTAGGGAGTAACAGGCATTTTGGAAATTATTTTCTTAGGGAATGACAGGCGTTTTGAAAATTATTTTCTTATGGATACAAAGGGATTTTAAAAGTCATTTTCTTAGGGATATAAAGGGATTTTAATGTAGTATCATATGTATTTTTCAAATATAGTGAACTTAATATATTATAATAGATGCATATATACATTTGTAGAGAATGTGATGATCAATGTAGATAATATAATATTATCAATAGAAGTATTTTGATATTGATATTATTTCGATCACAATTTTTCATAAAAGCAAATATCATATATGTTTTTTTTTCCTTCATTTCAATACCAATTTTCCCTGGATCTCAGGCGTTTTAAAAAATATTTTACTTAAGGAATCACAGGCATTTTTAAGATTATTTTCTTAGGGAGTGACAGGCATTTAGGAATTTATTTTCTTAAGGAATGACAGGCATTTAGCAAATTATTTTAAAAGGGAAGCACAGGCATTTTGGAAACTATTTTCTTAGGGAGTAACAGGCGTTTTGAAAATTATTTTCTTAGGGAGTAACAGGCATTTTGGAAATTATTTTCTTAGGGAATGACAGGCGTTTTGAAAATTATTTTCTTATGGATACAAAGGGATTTTAAAAGTCATTTTTCACTACCAGAAGCTAATGTATTTCCATCAAGAGAGAAACAGACTGATAAGATTCCATTAATATCCTGTATTGACATCTTATAATTTTTTAATTTTTAATATTAAATTGTTATATCAAATTATAATTGATTTTTGCATATTTCCCAAAATTCATTCCCTTTAAAATGAAATGCTATTAAGTATAAGGTAAAATCGGATGAAATTCTTGACTAATGAATGAACCCTATTTTCTACTTATCTAGCATAGTCTAAGCCCGAAGGCACTCTAGAAAATATAATTATGGATATTAGGTGGTAGCAATAGAAGATTCTAGAGTTATAATATTGATTGGTTTCTCTCCCACTTATGCATTGTTGCATTATCTAAAATAAAACAATAATAATTTTCCTACTGAGTTTGATGGAATAAATTCGATAATTTGCTTATAAACTAAGCAAAATATAAATTAATTAGCACTTTTTATCACACAATTCAAGGCTGAGAAACCATCTTTTCCAATTGCAAAAGTTAAGAAAGTAATTAATAATTATTTTTTCTTTTGCCAATATTTTGGAGCTTTTGAGTTTCTTCAAAAATTTGTAAAATTATATTTGAGTAATTAGGCTATTATTTGCAAACTTTATTATAATATTAATTTTTGTGCTTTTTTACCATCTACATTTTACTCTATTTTTTAAGCAATATTTTACTAATTTAATAATTATTGATATCAAACTTCAGTTTGAATTTCATGCTGCACTATTTATATATTATCTTAAATGACAAATTCAGAAGCCATTAAGAAAGTTACTCAGTAAATTTAAATTACTGTGTTTTTTTATAAATCGGAATACTATATGCTGTTTTTGGATAATAAATGGTATACTGCTAAAAAAAATAAGGCGAAATTTAATCCTCTACTTTATTGGCTATATATATTAGCTTTTAGGAAAAGGATGTTGAAAGACCCTATTTTTGCTTTTTTAATTTTGCTTTCTTATTTTTTTCATTCTTACTAATATTAATTCTTTACTCAATAACATTTAATGCTTCTTATACATATATATTAGTTTCAACTTCAATTTTCATAATAAATTATGTGATATGCAATTATTGTTCTAATTTTCTCTCCTCTTCAGCCATAAGTTGAACTTTAATTAGTAAAAACTGCTTTATAATTTATACTCAAATAAATTAACTTTAATTAGTTATTTTTCTTTAATTAAGATTATTGTTATTTCATGAAGTAAAAATTTGAAATTTCCATATATCTCCAATCAAATTTAGTAACTAATTACCTCCAATTGAAATTCCAATACATAGCAGAACATTTAGTCTGGATCAATATTTTATCAAAAGAATCATATTCAAAATTTCTTTGTGTTTAATAATTCCAATATATATTGAATTTGTGAGAAAATTTAAAATCTTATTTAGTATATTTTATGTTATACTTTTGGCACATCATTTTTAATTAATAATTAATATATATAATTTTATTGCTTGTGTAAAGAAGTCAAATGAGGTTATCAAAGATGTAGTTTAAATCCTTTAAATTCAATAATTACTAAAAAGTTGGAAAGATTATATAATTCCGAGATTATATAATCTACTATAGGAGTGATTTTAATTTAAAGTTTAATTTTATTCCATTAACATATATATAGGAATATAATAATAACATTATTGCTAAACTGAAAACACAAAAAATATAGATAATTAGCTCTATATACAATTAATTATTATACATTCTTCAAAAGAATCCCTAATATTGTGTTATAAATTAAGGCACTTTAATGATATACTAGAAAATAAAATGGCCTTTAAGATGAGAATAACAGATGATAAAACTTTTGGAGTAAAATTGGCAGGC